CAAGTGTGTGCACCCCTCACGTAAGAGAGACCAGCACGCAGAGGGTGGGGTCCTTTGAGCTTGGCATCTTCGCTCAGCTGCCCTGCGACAAATACTTCGTGCAAGGATGCCGTGTGCAGAGTGGAGAATCACGTTAATAATGCCTTTGGCAGTTAGTGTGGCATTCGCTTTTCTTTTTAATTTTAAAGATTTAGAGAGTGATTTATTATTTTGCCTTGAGAAGCATGATTCCATTTGTTGATTTTAATTTACAGGTATGACATTTTTATTACCTATTTGGCACATTTAACAGATGGGAAAATACAAACGCGTGGATAATTGCAGTGTGTCTAAGTTATGAATGTCCTGCGGCAGCCAGACATCCCCCCGCATGTTAAAGTGATTTGCTTACAAGTTGTTTGAGGATGTACTAATCACTTTGTTTTGTCCCTATTAGTGGAGTTGCCCACACCCTAAAGAAGGGGGAAGTTTTTTTGTATGAAATCGGAGGAAATATTGGTAAGCCATTTTTTGGTTTCTCTCTGTGTTATTCCATGGCTGCTTTGATTTTTTCACTAGTGGTGGTTTACATCTTTGGTAGGAAGAATGATTTAACATGCTCTTTAGGTAGCCACAGGATACCAGGACTTGTTTGGTGGCCTGACCTGTCTCTTCAGGCTCTCTTTGAGCTGCTTCTGCAGAAAGGCCATCTGCAGTACTTTCGGGAAAGGCCGGAGCCCTCGAATAGCAATGACTTCCAGAATGGCCAACATATGCAAATGGTGAAAAACTTTTGTGTTCTCCTATCATATCTCAGCATGCGGAAGGAAGTAGTTGAGGTGATGTAAGGCGGGATAATGCTTTCATTATGATATAATAACTAGATACTGTATTGTTTGTACAAGCAAGAATTATGGGGGCTGGTGAGATGGCTCAGTGGTCTAAAGCGCCTACTTAGAACAAGCTTAGCAAAGGGACCACGGTTCAATCCCCCAGCACCACATGCCAGACAGCCCCCGCCCGCCCCCCCCCGGTGGGCTGAGCTGGCCACACACACACACACACACACACACACACACAAATAAATAAAAATTCTTTAAAAAAAAAAAGAATTATGTACTATAGTCGTTTCTTTTTAGGTATATATGCACATTAGTAATTTAGAAAATAAGACAGATAAATTCATTTTGACTATACTCTGTATTTTTCCCTTTTATAATTAACATGGATCTTATTCATATTTTTTAAAAATGAAATCTTTTTTCTTGAGTCTTGCAAATGGTTAAGGATGACATTGTTAAGAAATAAATGAAATGATGTATAATCCCGTATAGTAACTGAAGGAGTGCCGTGGAATTATTTTGTGGAACTTAACATATTAGTGAATACTTAAAGCTGAATATAGGAAGTATAAAAATCTGTGTGCAGCGCGTGGGTTTGCTGTGTGCTCAGGTGGGCCTTGACCCTTCTGTTTTCCCTTTCTGTCCTCCCAGTAGTTGGGAGTATGGGTTTCGCTGCCCACTCACTCATGACATTTAAATAAACCACTACTCCAGGAGAAATCTGGAGTTGTTAAATCAATGAGTAAAGATTTGTTACTCTATTTAATTTTCATTTTATTACCAGATCTTGGGAATGAGTATGCTTTCCTAGGTAAATTCACACCTGTTGTCACTTTTTTTCTTTTTTAAATTTTAGCACAGGGTGTACAGGGTCTCACTGCACAGACGGGACTTGTAGTGATTCTCCTGTTTTCAGCCTCCAAAGCGCTGGGATTACGGCGCCACCACGCCCAATCTCAGCCGCTGTCTCAGCGTGCCCCTGGGGGCGGGGATGGAACCCCAGCATCTGTGTTCTGCCTAAGCAGGTGCTTTAGTCCACTGAGCTATCTGGCCGGCCCTGTTGTCATTCTTAAAAAAGGTGAAGAAGATTATAAGGATGCATTTAAAAAACCATACAAAGAATCCTCAGCTTCTTAATTTGAAACCTATTTATTTAGAGAAAGACTATCCACTGTGCTTTTCCAGTGTTTTTTTGCCAAGTCATCGTGGGCATCGGGCAAGGGTGGGACGTCTCTGAAATCCCAGACTTAAGAGCTGACCCACTGGGCTGGCGTTGGCGGTCCCCCCCGGCGGCCCGCGCTGCGCTGACGGCTGGTCTCTTCCACAGGGGAGCGCTGCCTCGACGAGGATGCCTACATGCAGGACTTGCATCAGCTCAACCCGAACGCCGAGTGGGTCATAAAGTCAAAGCCGGCGTAGAAGACAGCAGCAGCGCAGATGACGGCGAGGCCTTCTGGAATAATTCTTGCTGGCTCAGGAATGTACAGACAAGAAATGGCGGGGCTCTCACGGTTCAGCTGTACCCAGCTATCAAAAAGCAATACCTCCAGCCTTAAAAATGTACACATTTGTGCTGCTGCCAGAATGTTGATTATTAATAGTGGAAAACAAATTTCTCGATAGGAAAGGGGCTTTCTTAGCTTGGGACTGTTTTCATGTACTGTGTAAAACGCACCCAGATGGGACAGTTTTGTTGTTTTTTTTTTTTTTTTTTTAATATGAAAATATATTTTCTACCAACTTTTTTCTCTAAAATCATATATTCTGTAGTTTATCCTCTTACGACTCTTCAGGTCTGTCTTGCCTTAACACAGCTTGCTGCTTAACCCCAGAAAGCTGACAGACACAGGGTTTGTCAAGTTGTGAAGCCAGCAGGTATTAAAATGGTCCCACCCTTCAGTAGCACGCTTGTCACCGTAGGGTGCCAGTATTCTTGTCTGTGGGTCACTTACCCAAATAACCCCTTGCTTCTGGGTCGTAGGTGACGATTTCCATTTTTTTCAGTTCATCCGACATATTTGCACAGAGCTTTATCCAACGCTAAGAAAACAAGCCACCAGATGCTGCCAATTATCATCAAACCATTAAATATTTAAATACTACCAATAATAAAACACAGCCTTGCGGAAGAACTGAAAATACCAACATCCAGAGAGTGAAAGCCAGCTTACTTCATGCACAGTGTGTGCTTGCAAAGCTTATTAAACAGTCCTCGCTGGCCTTACTCATTGTCCTGTCAGCGTCATAATACAATCTGGTAGTGGTTGGAGAGTACGTTAAAGCAGGGTTTGAAAATAGTTCTGTCCCGAAGAAGTTACCGGCAGAGTTAATCGGGGTATAACAGTCATGTGAACAAGCTTTTGTTTGTGTGCTTCTTTTAAATAATCAGTGCATTTATTAAACTGTTGAAAGGACTATTCCCAGGGATTTTAATGCATACATCACATTGTGGCAAGAGGTAAGCCTCTGTACTGTAAATAAGAGAAATGTGAAATATTTTATGAGGTTAGAGTATAGTAAATAAAAGGTGATGTCGCTGAGTGCCGTGCCAACTGTGTTTATGAGACTTTTAGTACTTCAGGAAGAATTGCGTTCTCAGCAGCTCTTGATGCTACACTAATTAGAAGTGAAAATGCTGTTAATGAGAACAGTCGTAAATTTTTAGCATTTAATTACAAGGACAGCCTGTGGATAGGATTGCTTCAATAACGTTGGTGATTTGTGCCATTGCTTTTTTATTTAATGACATTTTATAATTAAATACTTTTTTTTTCTAAATTTTTGAATTATTACTTGTGATCCCGTGTGTTGGTGAGTCTACTTTCTTAATCTTTTTAATTGGCAAATGGAGTGTGTTGTTATAAGCTGTACCTGCTTGTGTTGCTCCTGTTTCACCTGTGTAAGTTTTGAACTTGGAAGACGTGTGAGAGAAACTTCCTTCCCTCGGGGTTTTCCTTATAGAGATTTCTATTTTTTAGGACTTTCCAAACTTTATTCTGTCTCTCGTTTTAGCAGTTTGTATTGTCTTGATTAGCAGAATTTTTATTGATAGTTTCATGAAAAGAATATAAAAGTTTGAAAACATGTTAGGGCTGTGTACCTTCAGGAGGGAATATAATGGTTTAATAAATGTCTTGCTAAATCATTTATCATCTAATTTCACCATCCTTAGTGCCCAGTGAGGGACTGGACCACGTGGCACAAGAGGTTTTCGAATCTGAAAAAGCTACCAGGTTTTGGTAAAGAAAAGTTAAGATGCCATTTTGAGTTCTTTCCAGAACTCCTGACCCAAGTTTTTGAAATGAACAACATTGTATTTAAGTAAAGCACATGTTTAGGCAGACACAGGGGCTGGGAGTTCGTTCCCCAGGTCTGCCATGCTGGCCCCACCCCCTGGGTGCACTGAGCCAGTGATTGAGACTGGGTGTGGTGGTGCACGCCTGTAATCCCAGCACTTGGGGGGGCTAGAAAACAGGAGGATCACTACGAGTCTGATCTACGCAGTGAGACCCTGTACACCCTGTCCTAAATACAAAACAAAACACTGTACTTAAATTTTAAAAACAACATTTTTAAATGGAGAAACTTGATAGTACTGAGCTTTGCCTGTAAATATTTCTAGTATTAACATAAATGTTTTTACTGTGATTTGTTTTTCCAGCAAGGTTTAAGTCTTAGTGAACATTTATTTTTATTACATTGAGATGGAAAAGTAACATGCTTGCTTTTGAGTTCTGAAGCTTTGAACTCGTACAGGAGTTGCTGGTGAAAAGTAGCAGGCCTGGGATTTGTGAAGAAGGCTGTCCGCCGCCATGGTGTCTTGGCCACAGGAGGTCCCTTTAAATCTTTCGATTGTATGATGTTGCTGTGGAATTCAGTGTCAAGTCCTGATTGACTCTGTTTGGGAGAAGTAGTTTCTTTTGCTGACTTCAAGGGAGTTTTCTCTTGCTGGTTATTTCTTGCTAGTGTTTTTGTTTTGTTTTGTTTTTAAACCAGTTGACACTGATTGTCCTGACTTGTCACCTTGTTATCGGTAGGTGGCAGTGTTGCTCAGGGGTTCCCTCTGACTCTAAAATACAGCAGGTTTTGAAAGGAACCTGAGTTCAGAGGTAAGGGGGCTGACAGTGCGGTGCCCCTCCAGGGCAGGCAGGGAAGTCTGGGGCTCTTGCTCTAAAGCTGCAATGTTGGCTTCTATGTTCAATGTAAGGTGCTAGTCTGCTTTGGTCTTTAACCTTTGAGAGAGGCGAGGTCTTGCTGACCCAGAATTAGACCTTTGGCAATGCTTTTATCAACCTTGAGGATTGTGACAGAAGAGGTGAGGCAGTGAAGCGGTGCTGTGAGAGGAGGGAGTCTGAGATGAGGAGCCTGGAGTCTTCTGCCCTCAGGGTGTATGCAGTTGCTGGGCACCTACATAGGCAGGCATGTTCTTCCCTCAGTGAATAAAGAACACACACTGCACAGGGCTCACATGTTAGTAGGAGAAGATGAATACTTACAGTAGACTAAGTCGCAGACTATGTAAAAGCATAGTCAATGCAATGGAGACAAAGGTGAGCAAAGTAAATGGGATAGGAGAGGAGGGATAGGCTTATTACGGAATTAAACAAGGGGCCTTGTTTCTAAAATGATGTTTATTCTTATTTGTAGTGTGTAGTGATTGCGCTCCTCGTAGGAAGTTGATACATGGACCTAACACATCGTCATTCTTTTTTCTTCCCTTCCTTTCTCCTCCCTCCAACTCTTGGTCACAGGGGTCTTGATGAATAGCTAATAGCTCAGGAAAGGTGCAGAGGAAGTCAGAATCTTGCCGTTTGACTCTCTGGAAGAAGACGGAGGTGACAGCTAAGACTAGGATCCTAAGCAGGAGTGTGTCTTGCTTGTCAACATTTGACGAGAATGGCAACATTGAGTACCATGAACCGAATAGATGAAGTCTCAGAGAAAGTGTCTGGGCTGAGGCTAAAGATCAAAGGGTCTTAGATCAGGGCAGTGATCCATTTAGTCTTCAAAATGGGGCTCTGTTGGGAGGATGATGGCTGAAACACCCACAAGGGCCTCTTACTCTAGTGAAGGTAGAGCCCATAAGATTCCTGGTATCAAAGAGAACATTCTTTGATTCATTCATTTGTTTTTGATTCAGGTTCTCACTTCGTAGTTTAGTCTGGCCTTGATCAACTAGCCCAAGCTGGCCTCAAACTTAGGGTGATCCTCCTGCCTCTGCGTCCCAAGTGCTGAGAGAGAATGCATTTTTAATCAAGCATAACCACAAGAACTTGGACTTGGGCAATTGGTAGGATGGGATTTCTAACAGCAGAAGTAGGGAAGGAGGAAAACAGGGTTTCATTATGGATGTAGCCAACTTGAGGTGTCCGTTTGACACCCAACTGGCAGTTACAGGAGTAGACATTTGGGGGAGAGGGCTGGGCAGGAGTCGTCTCTGAGCATGTGGGATTTCACCATTAGCAGTTGTGTGCAGAAGGTCCCTAAAAGGGTGAATGTGGATATAGAGCTAGTCCAAGAGTTGAGCTCAAGAGCTTCCCAACCCTGCAGCTGCAAAGAGAAGAAACCAGCAAAGAGATCAGAAAGATGCAACATTCGTGATGACCAAGAATTGGTTGTGAATCAGAAGCAAAGGGAAGAGAGGACTCCAGGAAGAGAGTCACTGCAGTATCAGGGGTTAAACAGGGTAAAAATCTGAGAGCTGAGTGCTGGGTTTATCCATGTGGAGGCTGCCGTGGACCTTGCAGAGCACCCTGGGTAGAGAGAGAAGGGAACACTGGAGGACTTGGTATGCGAAGCTCCTGGGCGTCTGCTGCTACACGGGGAAGTGAATAAGACTCTAGCTAATAAAGAAGTAGAAGTTATTGTCTCAAGCATCTGAGTGCCTGAATAGAGGTTTTTGAATTTGTATGAGTCAGTATTTTGATAAATATTGGATACCACAGCATGTGCCTCAGTTTCTACTTTGCATAAGGCAGGAATATTTATTTGCTTTTGAACTTCTTACTAGAACTCGTGTAAAGATCTCAGCAGCCTAGCCTGATAGCTAGTATGCAATGAAGAGACGTTTATTAATATTTATGATTAGTATTATCAGAGCTGTACCTTAAGAACTATCTGAAAATATTTTATTGAATTGCTTTCTCTTCGGCATAGAGGAAAGATATAGTAGACCCATCAGTGACTTCAGGATGAACAGAGGGACAGGGTACATACCAGCTCTGTGGAGACTAACCAGCCCCTCCCCTCAGGGAATTCTGATAGAATTTGCTGTCTCCAGCTCACTTCTTGGGAGGTTAAGGAATGATTTTGAATGGCCTTGGAGTAACATCACTGCTATACTATTTCATCTGGAAATTAGTGGCTGCCCCCCTTCTTGCAGGGTCTGTGACATGGTACCTAGGCCAGAAACAATTCCAGAGTTCTCAGGTGAGGCTGCAAGAGGGGGCAGAGCCCTTTCCCTGTTGGGCCAGGAAGCAAGCAGTTTTCATACCCATTCATTCCTGAGAACGTTCCGGCACCTGGTGTTAGGCGTTCCTTCCAAAAAGGACCCCACTTTATTGTCCTGATTTGTTTCTCATATTTCATGCATCATAGCTAAATTCTTTTTTTTTTTAATGTATTTGGTACAGGGTCTCACTATGCTCCTCCCCAGCCTGGGATTACAGGTGTGCGCCACCACGCTGGGACTTGGTGGCTGGCTCAGTTGCCTGGGGGCAG